TGCAAAAACCTGTATGCAAATGTGCACAGAAACTTTATTTGTCATAGCCGAATATGTCTCTCAACAGGTGAATGGATAAATAACCTGTGGTATATCCATACAATGGAATAACACTTATAAATAAATAAAGGAATAAATATAAGCATGCACAATTTGGATGAATCTTAAGAGCGTGTGTGTGTGTGTGTGTTGGGGAGTATTTTGAAGCAGAGTGTACCTCTGCATTCTAAGTGCGGCCTCAACAAAGTCCACTTGGCACAGCTGGCCTCCCCCAGCTCGGGGCAAAGAGAGGCTAATCCCCATGGAAGTCAGTCCGTGGGGTCCACCCCCATGACGAGGTACACTCCATTTCATTGATATTTTCACACTAACCTCCTCTTGAGGAAGCTAGGCTTCATCCACCATCCAACCTGTGCCACCGTAGACACTGCTCTCTCGTGTTTTTCTTCCTCTCTTGCAAACACATGCATCTTCTTCTTTTTCCTAAATCCTGCCTCTTCTATCCCTCTCAGCCATCCTCATTACCTTAGTGAAAAACACCACCTCTTCATCAAAGGGGACTTTTAGTTGGATATGTAGTTGTTTCAGGTTTTTAGTTGAAAGACTGTAATCAGATACTACTTGTCATTACATTTAAAAAATTGATGTCACTTTTGCTACAAATGATGAAAATACCATAGCGTATGGAACATGCCCGTAGTAGTCCCTCCTCGACTGGTTGGTGTCCGGTGCTGTGGAAGGGGAACCCTCCCCAAGGCCAAGGCCTGCCCTTGAGCACTAGGTTCGGTCCCTCTTCCCAATTCCACCAAATTTCCTCTGGTCCTCTCCTGTGTCATGAGGATCTCCCTTTGTAGTAAGTGTTTTCTATCAGTAAGTATCCCGGTAAATTGTTATTTCCCTTAAGAACAACAACAAAGGACATTTCTCTGGACCTCATTTCCCTCTCCAGTTCTAGCTATTTCCGGAAAGTGATGTCTCTCCTCACTGTCTTGCACCTGTCTTCCCCTTTTCTCTCTTGTCTCTTTTCAGATCTTCACCAGCTCCTCCCCACATGGACCTCCCTCACCAAATGCAGGATGCTCTCCAGCAGCCACCCCTGTGGCCACACAGCCATGCTTGCACGAGTGTTCATTCTCTCCTCTTAAAGCATTCGTGTTCACTTGTTTCCTCAGGCACTACACTCTCTCTTGCTTCCCTCCCACCTCGCTGGTCCCTGGTCCCCTATCCTCCCTCACCATCCCTTTCTGCTGGCTCATTTCACCCCCTAATCTGCTAAAGCCACAGCACCCCAGGCCTCAGTTCTTGCTTGTTTTTTCTATATTCATTCGTCTGATGAACTCATCCACCCTCATGGCTATATTCCATCTAACTTAAGATGCACCATCAAGTTCAACTTCCACCACGGAAGGAAAAAAACAACAACACTGCCAATTAAACTCTTACATCCCATCATTCTAATCACAGGTGCTCCTTTGCTCTCAGAATCCCTGGGCTGCCCTGGAGTGAGTAGTAATGCTTCTCTGGGGGAGAAATGCTTCCTCTGTGGGGAAACAGGATTCAGACTCTTCTATTTTTTCCTCCCAGTTCTCTTTACCACCCAGCCTGTGGGATCCCTATATGGTCTTGGGGAGGTATCACCTGGTAGGTACTACAACGAGCCCCACCACATAGGATTGTGCATATCATGGACTATGTATATTTACTCTCTGGGGTTGCACAGTGTACAACCTATACAACTATATATTGTTGTCTGAGTTCACCCAATTTTCCATATTTTTTTTCTTTCCTCATAATACCCTTTCCTAAACTTCAGAAACTTCAGAGTAAGACTGAGATTCTTGAGTTTTGGGCATTCTTCCCTGTCATCCCTGAGACAATGGCCATAGTCCTGGGCTTTGCTCCAATTGGGCACCCCTTACCCTATCAATGTGATTAAAAGTAGCCAGGTTGTAGCTGGCATAGATCTGAGAGCCCATCCTGGAACCAGTCATAGTGACAAGGGATGACATTCCCTTGTTTTGCTTAGTCTAATCAAAGCTCTGCCCTGGGTATGGAGTCAACCAAGTGTCAAGACTATGACTAATAGGGGAGGGATAAGATGAACGGGGAGCATCATGGATCTACTCCATGAGGTCAAAGCCGGGGGAGATATGTGGGAGATGGAAGTGACTGGAGCCTGTGTTGAGGCCCATAGACAGGAAAGGAGAGAAGAGGCTTATATCTGATTAAGAACAAAATCCTAGGAAAGAAGTGAGGATAGAGTGAAGGGTGGTGCTGGATTTGCAAGAAGGGAATAATGGATCCTCTCCTGAGCAAGAGGGTAGTGGGGAGACCTGTTTGCTCGAATAATGGAAGGATCATGAAGGCCATTCCCTGATACACTCATGTCCCTGATCGAGAATAGTGCTGTCTGTCCAGGCATTGGTGGCATGTACTTCTTGGGATGTGCTGGTGGGTAATTCTAACTCACTCTCTCCATCAGTGGGAACTCTTAATGTTGTAAGGGATAGGTCACTCCAAGGCTCAGATTTTGATTTACCATTCAAACAATTAGAAAACACATCTCCCTTACACACATCTGCAGAATTTGGGAGACTATACCATGATATGAAAGGATGTGTGTGTAAAAAGTATTTGAAAAGCTTTTTGTGGGAATTCCACATGGCCTGAGGGTTAGGAATGTGGGCTCTGACACCAGGTGGCCTGAGTGCACATCTGGGCCCTGCAACCTTGGGCAGGTTCCTGGCTCTCTCTGGGCCTCAGTTTCCTTGCTAGAAAGTGGGGATGACCTTACTCAGATTTTGAGGATCAGAGATTGTGAATACCTGTGCATGTTTAGGAGAATTACTAACATATAACAAATACTCTTCGATGTAAGTCATCAATATTTATGAGAATCCCATGACATGCTAGAATGCACTGTCCTCAGATTGTGCACTCTTCTGGAGTGAAACTTGTTTATTGTACTAATTCAATGAAACCTAAATTTTTACAATGCTATTTTCATTGGCAAAAGAACACGTAGACATTTAAAAATTATTTCCATTTCACCATGTTTAGAGTGTCACCATTGTTTCCTTTCTGATGGAGTATGCAAAAATTAGCCAGTTGATAGAAAATAGACTCTAGAACATTCCATATTAACAATTATGGGAGGCAGTGCTACTGATACACCTTAATGAATGTTTTATTTATGAATATGCTGGGAATGGCCTCCCCCTTCTCACTAATATTCTCTCCCTACTTCCCAGCCCAAATGAGAAGAACTCTGGATGGAAGTGCAATCAGGAATTAAGAGACAGCATTCATAGGATCATTCAATGCAGCACCAAATAGAACACAGTTCCAGTGACCTTCCGAGGTGACGGCTCAAATTGCTGCTTTAGGAGGAGACCCAGGTTCATGTCTGAAGCCTTAGTCTAGAATATTCCAAAAGGCTCACTGTAACAGTGTTACTGTGGAAGAACCCACGGCTGAAGTGATGAGGCCTCTGGCAGGGTCCTTCCAGCGGGAGGGTGTGGCCACCACGTGGAGCTTACATTTCCCAATTATTTCAAATTTCTTTAATTTATTCCTGGTGATTTGTAAAAATTAATATTTATTTTTTAGTTCCCTCTCAGGGACTAATGAGTTGACTTAATACAAGTCTTCATAAATAAAATAAGGTCTGGCTTTCTAGATATAGGACAAAAATCACAGCCTACACCCCTGTGGACTCTTGGCATCGGTGTAGACTTCCCATGGCTGCTGGGTCCCCACCGGGTACAAGATGTCCCTTGGGGATGACATACAGCCTTGCTAAAGCCCTGTTTTCAGGCTGTTCATGAGGCTGGTGTCCCCAAGCCCCATTCTCCTCTAGAGAAAAACACAGCGATGAATTGCACAACAAAGCTATCCCTAAATTCCAGAAAACCAACAGGCTTTCCACTCTCCTGGGGGGAAAGAAATCCCTGCAAGAAATGAGAGTATTTGGCCAGTTGTCACACTGCAGCTTTCAAGGGAAGTCAAAGCACTTGGTCCTGATAGAAAATGCCACGATTGTCTTGTTAAAAGAACCTAATAGAATACTGAACAAGTATTTTTTCCCCTAAGATGAACTTCGCTGTAAACGGAAACTGAGTCTTCTGACCCCTCCAGAGTGAGGCCCACTGCACATTGCACATGTGGCTTGCCTGTGTCTCCTGTCATCCAGCAAAATGTAATTTCCATATTTTCTCTTATCCTTTAGGGGTATCAGAGTGTGGCCCACCCAGCAGTAGGCATTAAGTCAAAACGTGTTTTTAAGAGCACCAGTGTTCACTCATGGCCTTGTGTGTGTGACCTTCCAGAAACCATGGTTGTCCTGATGCAATCAAGCCACCCTTCTGGGCTTCTCGAGAGGCGGCTGAGCATCACGCGGATCCTGCTCTCCTCCATAGCCTCTCATAATTGAAAAATGCAGGAAGCTGTGGAAGACTGCCCCACCCCCGGTATCATTCCAAAGAAAAACCGGGTGGCAGAGACTACTACTACTCTCTGCTCTTGCCTCTTAACATGCACCGACAATTTTTAAAAGTTCGATTGTTACACCTTCATTTCATTTCTTGGGATTTTAATATTCACGTCTGGCAAATTCTTGCAGTCTAAAAGACAGAGAGAAAAGATTTTGTAAGTCACTTAATCCCCAAAGCAGAGCACACACCCTCCTAATAAACAACTTTGAAGAGATCATGATTTTAGAGCCCACGAATTGGTTATGTCAGAGGAAGAGATGCAGAAGAAACCATGCACTGAAACAAGTCTTGCCAGGGCAATGGAGATCCCACCTCCTTAGAGAATAAGGCAATATCCCCTTCTCCTGCCTTCTCTGAAATGCCTTGAAAAGAGCAAGAGTTTCGTAGGAGCAGGAGCGTTGCAACATATTACAAAATGTCAGTGTATATTTGAAATTCAAATGCACATGAGAGTCATGCATTTTATTTTTCTGTGGTTCAGATCTCCTAAATAAAGCATTTCCCCTGTGTAGGCGCTCCCCCCCACCCTGGGGGGCTCCACATGAGGTCAGCATCTGGGCCGCTTTGCCAGGGTCAGAAGACTGTTCTTCCAGGAAGGGCTGCAGAGACCCTGGGAACGGGACCAGCCCAGCTCACAAGTATGAAGAGAATGTCGGAGAGGAAGTGGTGGCTGTGAGTCAGCATGAGTCATCTCGTTCCAATGAGAACGAAGACTGAGGTGTGCGCGCTTTTTTTTTCTGCCTTTTTTTTTTTACTTTTTTTTTTCATTCTTTCTTTTTCCTTCTTTTTTTCTTTTTTCTTTTTTTTTTTCATTTTCTTTTCTTTTTTTTTTTTTTGGTCTCAGTCATGTGGACATCATTGGGAATGGAGGGAAAGAGTGACTGCATGCCTGGTGCTTGCTGAGCCGCGGGCTGGTATTCCAGAAGGGCTGTGCCTGAGTCGGTGTCTGCTTCAGACCTTCGCGGCCCCGGCGGGGAAGGTGGAGTCAGCCGCTTGTCCCTGGTGAGTACGTCTCTGTCATTTTTACCATCATTTCTGCCGTCTGCCTCAGAGTCTAGATGGGTTAAAGCTGTTGCATCTTGGAGGGGACACTGCATTGGAGACTTTGAGGGTCCCTAATTTTAGAGCAGTGGCTGCGTCTGCCCCCGCCCCATCGCTACTGTATTTCAGCCTGCTGTCTCAGGGCTTAGCTGGGAGAATGTCCACACTGTCGTCCTGGAAGAGGCAGTGATACTCGGTTGGAAGCTAAGCGGTTCCAGACTCCGCTCTGGAGCCCCAGTGAAGTTCAGAGATGGAGGTGGGTGAATCGGTGCTCACCCAGGGGGACTGAGGTTGGGCCAGCTTCCGCTTCTCAGAGGTGGAGGGAAGACAGCCCCCGAGAAGTTTCTGGCCGCGTGGTCTGAGCTGCCCAGTTTTTAAGTGCAAGAAATACAATAGAGAGGCAGAATTTTGGCATATGAATGATTCTGGGAACTTACTTTATGACTTTTATTTTTGCTTGCGAGTGAATGTCCCTAACTGTAGTAAAATCAGAAAGAAAATATGCAGGGGTCTGGGGGCTGGTGCCTAGGGGCTGGGGGAGGGTGAGGGTTGGGTTGTTGAGTCCCTGAGGCCTGATATGACCTTGATAATGTGTTTCTCAGCCTGTTACTATTCTGAAGAGGCTTAGCTTTACAGTCAAGTAAAATACAGGAAACTTTTTTTTTTAATGTCATTCTAGTTACTGTAAATGAACAGTTAAAATGTCATAAATACCTTGTGATAAACATTTTTTGAATTTGCTTAAAAACCTGCACATCAGTAGGCAGGGTATGACAGGGAGCTTTTTTCAGTAGAGTCATTTGAGTGTGTGGGCTTTCTGGGTTAATAATGAGTCAGCACCAGATTTCTATAATTGGAGCAGCTCTAAGAGAATAAGCGATCTGCCCCCAAGCACAGCATGGTGGCTGGCTGGCCCTCCAGGAGGATCTGACTGTTTGGTCTTTGTTGAAAATCAACTTTGGGTGCCTCCCTTGTTTGGTGACCACCACCATCACCCCCCCACCCCCCGCCGCCCCCAGCTTCAGTCCCAGCTCTTCTGTGTCCTTGTGAAGCCCCTTTGCTAAGGGGTCCTTACACCGGACCCTCCCCTTCGGCTGATGTTGACTTTTAGGGTCTGCCTTGACAGAGCTGATTGAGCATACGATTTGTTAAATTAAAAATCCAGAGTGTATGAAGGGTAGGGATAGCCCAGGGTTAAAGCTACATCTAGTGTCCGGTGATGTGACACCTGTGGGGGGCATGAAGTGGGAGCTGGAAGGGTCACAGCTTGAGCTTCAAAGCAGGCATTATGCATGTAGCATGCAGTGGGGAAGGGGGTAGGGGGTGGGAAGGTGTCACATTAAAATCAGAGAGCCGGATTCCAAGGAAGAAATCCTCCCTTGAACCTTACTCTTATAAACTGAGAAAAATGCCAAGAAAAAATTAAAACAAAAACAAAAACAAACCTGGAGTTGTAGGCTGGTGGCTCTAAGGCCAAAAGCATCCTATTTGAATCTACCCCCAACCCTCTCAAATTCTGTTGGCCTGCCCAGGATTGGTGTTTGGGTTTTTTTTTTCTTTTTCTTTTCTATTCTTTTTTTTTTTTTTTTTTTGTATTCAGATCACTATGATGGGGTCCTATGTTATTGAACCCTAATACTGCAAGGCTCTGTTAGCCTTGGGTTTCCGGACCATGACACTGCCTGCCTTAGAGGGCCACTGGGAGGGCTCAGAGAGTAAGCATCTGCCAAGGGCTTCCAACAGCATCTGGACACAGAGGAGCCCCCATCGACTTTAGCTCTATCAGCTTCCCTTCTTACCTGGACTCTCAAGGCATGTGGGCTTGCAGCCCCAGAATTAGTGACATCACTTTCCCAAGCAAGATCTTGTGATTTCAATGTAATCAGTGGCAGTTCCAAGGCTGACAGTCTCCGGATCAAGTCAGGACCTCAGCAAGGCAGACAACAGGGGTTTCCGAGGTGGGAGCCCAGCCCAGTCTGTCTCTCTCTCTCGGTGAGTAATCTTTGTAAGCGCTCAGAGAAATGCCATCTTCCTGGAGAGAAGAGCCCCAAAAGGCAAAATGCCTTAGGCAGTGTCGTGGTGGCTTATGCACACTAGCATTCTCTCTTGTCCCCATTTCAGAGAACACACCAGGAGTCAATGTGTGTTTGTTACCGGGCGGAGTCTTCAATTCGCCTGGATAAGCGCCCGTCGGGAAGTAGTTTTGAGGTGGTTGATTTTATTTGAGACCTTGATTGTATTCTTTGATGTAGAATTCAGGCAGTCGTATGAATGCTGGAAGTCAATTTACCGCTTACCCATGAGAAATAAGCCTGTGGCGAACTGACAGAATCACTTTTATAATCAGGAGAGTCATTTAAAAAGGCCAGAAATAAGGCCATGGGCAGGTCTGAATAATAGAGCATTCATTAATATGATGTGCTGCTTTGTCATATTTTCCAACTAAGAAAGATGCTGATTCTAATGAGGATGCAGGCAAAGAGTAAAAAGAGAAACAAACTACAAGAGAAACGAAGCAGATATTTTTAAAAGGACACCTGCAGCAAAAAAGAAAATGCTGACAGTTTGATGATATTTGGAAATGGCCTGGTGGCCTGTTGTCATGGCCCCCTGAGCTTCGAGACTGGCCTATTGCTGCTGGCCCCATCTCCCACTCCACACCGTTCATCAGGACCCCTACCTGGGCTTTTATCCCTCTTGCCAAGAGGTTAGCATGGTTCCCACCATCTATTGCCATACGGAGAGCTTGCCCTCATGTTGGGCAAGTTACATAGCTTCTTGTCCCACCTTCCTCACTGTGAAAGGGAGTTAATAATAGTACTGGCCTCTTGGGTCCTTGTAAAGATCTGTGATGATTAGCACACCAGTTATAGTGAGACTTGATAGTTGTTAAATACACGATTACAGATTCAGACATAGACCCAGACTCCTTTCAGTCTCTACGCGGGCCCTGGGCCCTGTGGGCATTCATAAAGAATTGGCTCTGGGTTCCTGAAGTGAGATCCCATCTGTGTTGTGTTCTGCATATGCAAGATATTTATTGATTAGGTAAACGGGAAATGTTTCATGGTTCTCTCCTGGAAAACCCAGAGTACTAGATGTTGTCACCATCATCATGGCCATCATGGTTTTTATTGTCCCCATCATCACAGTGGGGACAGCTCCCCTTGTCTTCAGCCCAACCACGTGGTAGTAAATTTCTGTGCATTTCCTTTACCCCTCAGCCCCCAACACACACACATACCCACCCTGGAAGATAGGAAGGATGGCCAATTACTCAACTTCTTCAAGGTGCAGGTGTCCTAGGCAGGTATATCAGGCTGAGCAGCTGCCTTGAGGAGTGCCTGGCAGAGGGGGGCGGGACCTTCACCTCCATCAGGAGAGGAGAGTCAGGAAAAGCAGGGGACCAGGAGGGTGCTGTCTGTAATCCGGCAGAATGGGACAGCGGGCCAGAGAGTCCAGGACCACTGGCCTCAGACCTGCTTCCAGGGTGGAAGCAGCTGGATGCTGTACTCACACTTCCTGTCTAAGGCCAGCTACTGTCAATTTCTGGTTGTTTGCGAATCATCACAGTATATGGGGCTGAGTCATTTTGAAAATATTAAGTAAGGTACACTTAAAACTAAAACCAGGGCGAGCATAACATGTCCTTTCCTTGCCAAATCTGAAGATATCCAAGATCACGCAGTGCCTCAGGAGCTGAATCTTCCCACTCATTCTACAGGGATCCAGAAGTAATGCCAGTTGTGTCCCTTGACACGTGTGGTCAGCCTTCCGTGGTACTGCCCTGCCAACATAAGGCATCAGGTGCTTCATACATCTCCTTTCTGAAAGTCGAGGCTTTGCATGTGCAGCACGGCTGTATTGTTTGTTCTAAATGGTGCCACTTTGTGGGCGGTTTTGTTCTGCAACTGCTACCTGTGCCAAAATCGAGAGGACCCTCTCTGCTCGCAGTGCTGAGGCAGGACAGTCGTGTGCTTGGCCCAGTGCTTCAGGGCAGAACTTGGGCTCCTCACAACTTCAACAGGGTTCTGGTTAGACCACAGAGCTCAGGCGAGGGGAAGCCAGCAGTGGATCAGAAGGAAGTTGGGTCCACAGGAAGGAGGAGTGGTTGGGAGGCTTGTTTGGTCTCAGATGATTCCTCTGATTAAAGAAAAGCAAAAAACACCCGGTTTCCTTGCATTTTGTATAATCAAAAAAGCTAACGGTGATGGCAAATGTTATCCATGGCGGTTTTCCCGTGCATCCTTTGTTTTTAGGATCCATTATCCTGCAAGGGAGTGCTTCTCCCCAGAGACTTTTAGCATTAGCCTTTCCCTCCGTGCTGTCCTTTCAAAAGTTTATCATACTTAAAATACTGGAGTTTTTAGCAATGGCATAAATGTATCATTTTAGCTGTTATTCCTGGACATTTACATAGTGTGAGAAGGATGCATGGGTTTCTATCAATTTAGGTAGATATAAAGGAAAGTTTTACAAAATAGCCGTGCTCCCAGCAAGTGTCAGGCTTACTTTCCCTCAGACAGAAAAAGATTAGAAGCGGGCTGTCCAGTGCAAAGGTCAGTGGGCAGCCAGTTCATCCATCTCTCTTCTCTGCATTCCTTAGCGTTGGCTTCCTTCCTTAAAGTTGTCTTCTGGTTTTAATAGAGCTGCTGGAGCTCCAGCCATCACCTGTGCATTCCACACAAGAAGAAAGAGGAAAGTAGGGGACAGAAGGCTAAGCAGCCTAGGTGTCAGGCTCCTTTAAAGAGCTTTCCTAGAACCCGCAACATACCCTTTCTGCCTATATCTTTTATTGGCCACCGTATCTGTAAAGCAGCCTGGGGAATGCAGCTTTTTAATTAGGCACATTGCTGCCCCTGACAACATAGCAGTTGCTGACAACACAGGAAGTAGAGGAAAATGGATGTAGGAGAGGCAACAAGCAGTCTCCACAACAGAGTGCTCCTGAAGACAGCTAG